TAGAAGGCATTGCTTTTGGAGCAGCTTACGTAGATAATTAGAATAAAATAATGATTTCTTTGCTTTGCAAAAGTATACAGAATACTGCTGAAAGTAGTGAAACTATGTAACAAGGCAGGAAGCTGTATTAAAGTAAAAACATATTTTGTTATCACAAGTCAGTGGAAGGAGATAATAAGAATTGAGACAAATTCTTCTTGAACGTGTTACAAATAATGCAAAATAACGAAAAAGTGAAAATAATGTAGAGACTAACACTCAAGAAATGGCTATGCGTTCTGATTTTAGCTGGGATTGAGTTAATTTTCTATACTGTATTTGTTAGCATGCTGTGTTGTGGACTTAGGAGGAAAACAGTGTTGGTAACACACCGATGTTTTAGTTGTTGCTGAGCAGGCGCTGCACAGAGCTGAGGATATTTCAGCCAATGCAGGGTTGGAGGTACACAGAGAGCTGGGAGGGGACAGAACAACACCTATTGTTGTTATATTCCAATCCATATGGCATCATGTGGTGTGATGAAACTGGGGGTGTTGGCTGGGACCAGTGCTGCTGCGTGAGACTGACTGGGCATCAGTTGGTGTGTGACGAGCAGTTGTGTTGTGCAGCACTTATTTTCTGTATTTTTATATCATTATTATTATTTTGCCTTCCTTTTATGTCCTAAGAAACTGTCTTTATCTTAGCCTGTGAGTTGTACTTGTTTCCCATTTCTCTCCCTCATCCCTCTGTGGGAATGATTGAACATCTGTGTGGCCCTGAGCTGCCTGCACATCATCACACCATATCACCTTGGTTGCTTTTGTCACCGGAGAGAAACACTGAGAGCTGTAGCTTTATTTTAGGATGCTTCCACATGAAAAAGGAATTTTGAAGGAAATTTAGTCAAGTCTAACAAAACCAAATTGGATTTGGCAAAGCAAGTGCTTTTTCTAATTATGTTAATCTGACACAGCCTGATTGTGTCTCCCAAAGGCCGCAGCAAAACATAATCAAGCAGTCTCTAAATCAGAGTAATTCTAAGAATATCTAAGAAATTCAAATATAGCTGTCAGAGGAAAATTGCAAGAGTTCCTTGAAACATTAATTCTTTACTAACCCAGATTTGTTTCTATCAGTCTGCATTTGAAGACCTGTATTTGAGGATTCTCAAATCTAGCTTTTAACTATCGAGTTCATTCCAGTGAATTGGACACTAATGCATTTTATATGTCATTAAAAAAAAGCCACATTTTGAAAGAGTTAGTAGCTTGCAGCTAAATATTCAGAGTTATTTTAAGCATTCTTGAAGTCGTGATCACTGTATATACAGAAAGGTAAGTTTATGTATGCAAACAGGTACATAGGCTTCAGTAATTGAGCAGATTGCCTAATTATGTTTCCAGACATGCAGTTGCATATGCAGTCTGAAAGCATATGTGCAATTTGGTGTATGCAAATTAAAGTAATCACAAGTGTTGCTGGTGAATTAAAACCCATAGATTGAATATAATCACTAGGTGTCAGCAGTATCAGAGGGGGCAGAGCTTCTGTATTTAGTACTAGGTGCTTTATTGCTAGAGAGATCCCCAAATGCTTTTTCAGGAAATCAAGAAGCACACAATGTCAGGAAATCAAGAAGCACACAATGTGTGAGTGGAAGAGATTGTCTTGTATATGGCTTCTGATTTTTTATTGTGGTAACAAACCAACAGGGACGAGAAGTTTTTTAGTGAGTGTAGAGGCATCACAAAATTAAATGGCAGAATTTTAGTAACTTCAAGTTGTGATGATGTGGATGTTCTTGCTTATAAAATGGAAAAAAAAAAACAAGTACAAGGAAGAAGGAAGAGTTTTTTATAGTGACATAACTGATTTGTTTACTGATTATTTTCCTCTAACATTTTAAAGTATGAAAATGTATTGCTTTAAATGCATAGTTAGGTTATAACTGAAATTTCTTATGTTATCTTCAAGCTGTTTTCCTGTATCCTTATATCATATTCATACAACAGTACTTTATAATTCGGGATGATTTTTATCATTATAATCATTTCTTAATTATTTCCATGTAAGCAGTTTGTATGTATGGTCATTGCCTAGGTGGGAGAAAAAAAAACTCACACAAAAGAAAACACCTGTAAAAGCACTAACAAGTAGTCAAGGGGAGCAAACTTGATAAATAAGGGAGAAATTAAACATTAGGATATGTAACTTTAAGTCAATACTGATAGATTTTATGAAGTGTTTTGAATACCATAACTGGTATTCAAAGTATTTTGTGCTGACTTTCTTATTTCCTTGCCAGGACATCGACTGACGGTCTGATAGTTGAGCAGCTATAATATAGAACCTTTTTTCTTACTAAGGCTTTTAAACATATGTCTGTCTAAAGCATTTGCATGACTCAGAATCTCCGGACTAAGATGATTTATGGTTTATCATTAAATCGTTTATCTAGAGTTTGGAAAACACAGGTACTTCTGTTCTATAGGGAAGTTATACTAGTTCCATGGAAACTAAGATCTTGAGAGTGATTTGCTGAAGGTCTCAGGAGAACTGTTTGTAGAAGAGGAAACTTGACTTTTCAGCCTTGAATGAATAGCCTGGGATAGCTTGCATTTAAAAGCTTAAGTCTGAGGCTGGTTGAGAGAAGGTGATCTTTCTGACTATGTTGTTCTCACCACTCTGCTTGTCTTCATAGAATTGTGATTTGTTTTCTCTGCTTGCTCTGGTGTCCAGCACTGTTGTGAGCCTTTCTGATACATCATACACTTTTCTTCCTTTTGATGACTTTACTCATCCCTTTTCCTCAGTTTGGGCATGCCTTCCTCCCACCCCATTCCCATCTTTATTTGTTCTGTAAACTCCACTGAAGGCATAGATATAATTGTGAGGACAGATAAGCTAAGAATCTGTCATCTCTACTGGTCTTGAGAAACCATACACAACAGCAGCCTCTGCGTAGCTCAGAAGTCCTGTTCCCAATTTCTGGTTTTTACTTACATCAGAATTCTTTCTGTTGATGTCTGGAGTTTTTGCAATTGATTTATGCAGTGTTTTACAGTTACCTTGACTCAGATGAACAGAAATTACAATGAGTTGATAGCCGGGACTCCCTAACCCTGTCAGTTATCTCAGGTTTCTGAGACACTTCTGGAAATTTGTAATTTACAGAAAAAACAAACAGTAAGAGAAAGATGCAGCCATCTCATTAGGCTGGAGCTCACATGGATTCTTGAAATCAAGTGAGAGGAGCCACAGTAATAAGAGATTATTGCCACATATTATATATATGTATATAAAACCAAAAGTTATACATAACTGGGCAGCCTGGTCTAGTATTAACTGGTCTGGTATTAAATGTGGAGGTTGGTGGCCCTGCATGTGGCAGGGGGTTGGAGATTCATGATCCTTGAGGTCCCTTCCAAACCTGGCCATTCTGTGAAAAGTACTGTTCAACTGTACCTTTCTTTAATTGAAATGAAATGGTGTGTATTTAGCCTTCAAACAGAGCAATCCAGCAGAAGGTATCGTTAATTGTTATTAATTAGCGGTAAGTCTTTGAGTTCTCTCCATTTCTTGTGCTTCCATACAGATTTTTACCATTCATTATGCTACATGTAATTGACTCAGCTCAGAATATAGTCACTACAAAATCTGAATGTAAACATGTATATGTAAATTACCCGATCCTTTTCTTCTTAAAGACTGTGTTTACAGACATAATTAAGGACAGCATAAAAACATCAGCGTAACCAACAAATGACGTTTTGTTTTTTATCATTACCAGTCTACCATCAAGCTATTTGCTTACGTTTACTCTGCGCATCATAAAAACAGAGGACAAGTTGTTTTTTTTTTTCTCATTTCATTTCATTTTATTGCTCTTGACAAGTTCTTCTCCAGAGGTAGTTCATGACTAATTACCAGAACAGTTGCTGATGATCTGTAGGTGAACTAAACTGAAAGAGTTCTGCTCCATTAAAGATTTAATTTGAATTTTTTGAGTGTGAACACTTAACTGCTTTGTTGTATCCTGGTAAGTTATTGCTGAGTCCTAAGTATAAACATTTTTAGATTTTTGACTAAGATTCCAAGCAGGAAACACAATGAAAATAATTATTGTTCTATTTTCTTATTTATATGGAAGCCATTAGTGTATAAGGCATATTGTAGGTCAGTCTGTGAATTAGGCAGCTCTCATAAAACAACTGTTTCAGGACAGAGTGGTTGTTATATGCTTTCACAGGTGCAAAAAGCATATGGAAACATCATGAAATAACTATTAATTCAGAGCAACCAGAAGAAAACATTTTTCTCGGAGAGTGGCTGTATGATACGAGCTACTGAAGGCTGGGAGAGTATTTTGAGGAAGTGTCAAAACTTAGTTCATATTTCAGTCTTTAATCTGGCCAGTATAGCTTTTTGTCTGTGTTAAAATCTGGTTGTGTATGTTTGCATATGGTTGGATGCATGCATGCAAGCATATATATACAAACACATGCAGTTCAAATCTGTGTGCCAGCAAGCTGCCTCTATTTAACTTCAAATTCTATCTTTGATGGTGAATCTGAATTCTGAGAAATGCAGTCTGTGAAGGACAGTTGTCAAAGTAAGCTAAACAGTACTCTGAAGGACCATTTGTTTCTATTGAATTTCGTACAGCAACATCTAATGATATTTAAATGCTAACTCTTTAAACTCTAGATATAGTAATAGCTCTCTTCATACTATTTAATAAGAAAAAAATAAGCAAATGCAACACAAGTCAAGCATCATCTTAATTATCTTTTTTTACCATGATGTCTTAGAAATTACATGCAGGTATCAAGTATAGTTACAGTGAATATGGTATGATAGCAAACAAGCATGTAGCGAAGAGTAAAGACTGCCAGCACTTTACTTAATGGCTGAAATAATGTGTGGCTTACTGTTTGTAAAGGCTCATTAAAATACCCTGATTATGTTCTATTTTTACTACTGCTTATCAGAATTACATACTTTTTGTTTACTTACAGTATGAAAGAGGCTGGTTTAGGCCATAAACAGTGGAGGGGTGGTCCCATTTCATCAAACTGCAAGCAGTGTCCAGTAGTTTATACCAATCCTGTTTGTGGATCAGATGGTCACACATATTCTTCTCAGGTAAGAATTAAATACGGAACTGAATTATACTTTCAATGTTCACTTCAATTCCAGCTCTTGGAAAGTAAAATACTGTATAGTTACACAAATCTACATTTATTTTTGTTTTAAATATATTCCTCACTGCAACCTACAGCAACACTAGCACATCTTAAGACAAAAAATCAAAATGGTGGCAGCACGGAACAGCAGTACCCAAGGGAGCACAGTGCAGCAGTGCTCTGCAATGTAGCAGAGCTCCACTGAAATGTATTTGCTACAGACAGCAAGGGATGGTTTTTAAAGAGGAAGAAAAGTCTTGTGTGTCCTCAGTCTGGGGCCAGGTAAACCTCATAAATCAGATATTCCTGTTGACCACTGACAGGATGCTTCATATTCAAGCCCAAAGGCATAGATATAAAATATGCAGAGGAAAAAAAGTAGTAATTTAAATAATTGTTGGCTGTCGTCGCTTCTTGCATCAGCACTTCGTGTATTTTAAGTTTTCTGTCATACTTATTTGGAGACAGAATAATAATAATAAATAATAAATAAAATAAAACAAAAATGCTATTGTCAGTCTAACTTTTTTTTTGTAGAGAAAAGATTTTGGTTGCATTGAAGTTCAAAAAGCCACGAGCCTGCTTTTGTACAGTGCTCAGCTCAAACTTACAGATGTCACCAGGAAACTGGGAGACTTCAAAATGCCGAAAACAAATGGATTGTTTTAGCATCTTCCTTGAAACTTTCAGTAGAAAAAAAAAAATAATTGGACTATAACTAATATTTTCTCCACCTTGATAATTCTGGTGCTTTTATCCTGAACTTCATATTAGAAAATATTTATAATTATTATATTCTGTAATGCTTAGAGGACAGTGCACATGACTCTTAATTTTAACTAAAAATTCTAACTCTCAACACCAGGTATCTGAAGCCCAGTGAATTTTGGACACCTTCTCTGGCTTAGCTAACATTCTGGCTCTTCAGAATCAATACGAGTTAGAGGTTTAATTTAAGTATTTGAAAATGTTCTTATTCACAGTAATTTCCTGTGCTTTGTCAAGAGCTTGAAATTTGCTTGCATCTTGCAACTAGACATCAGATTATATTTTTACCATTTCTTTTGCTGAATCATGTGAAGTGCCAAGTCTTACCTTTACATAGCTATAAAAAACAAGGCAGTCCCTGTGATTTTCTAATTTAAGTACACAGGATAAGTAATTTGGGATAAATAATATTGAAACATAAGTGTTCTTGTTTTTAAGTATTGTCAACTTTATCTATCAGTCTCTCCCTACTATCTTCCCAACATAACACAAGCATCACAACTGTTTTTCCTGTTTATTGGGTAGTTTTGTACGTCATCAATTTTCTGTCTCACAGAAGACCCTGGAGGAACTGTTGCTGTCTTTGAGGAGAACACAAGACAAGAATGAAAGCAGGCTTTAGTTATCGTAATGTCGTGGGTTTCCTTGTCCTTGCCTTTGGGAGCTGGCAGATTGTCTGGAGGAAGGAACAAAGCAATTCTTTGTAACCTTTCTCTGACCACCATGCTGAGGCACAAGCAGTTGCTGATCACAAAAAGAAGTATTGTAAAGGAAGGAGTTTTTTCTCACAAATTAAGCTGTAAAACTAATTTTAAAAATCATAAGAGCAGTCATCATAAAGTAAAAAAAAAAAAAAAAGAAGAAGAAAAAAAGGGGGGGGGGGAAGGATAAAAAAAAAAAAGCAACCATGTGAGCATGAAAAGAGAAGCTTGGATGCCCCCATTTTTCTTAATTGAAGAATGAGCTCTCTAGCTGTATTTATTGTAGAGGAGGAAGAAGAGAAGCCAATAGTTCTGTATTTTTGCACAGAAATTGTCTCTGTAGCTGTGAATCAACCTGTACTCATTTTTAGAATCAATCTATTGCCCATAATGAATTATTCTGAGATGTGCAGTATCTCATATTGTTAAACCATGTGTGAACAAATTCTGTTACGCTAGCAGAAGATCTCAAAATTAATTCTTTTTTTTTTCTGGAAATGTGGAAAAAACTAATCAGGAATAATTGATCTATTTAGAATCAGATAACTTCATTAATGTTGCATTGTGAACAGTCCTGTGAGTGAAAAGTGACCCTTATGGCTTCTCTGTGTCTGTTCTGAGGGAGATATACGAAAGTCTATAAATAATGATGAGTTGCAGACATTTTTACATCAATTAATGTACTAAAGATAAGGTGAGGATGTGTTGCGTAAACAGAATGGTGGGGAAAGAATGGAATAAGTAGAGGTACTCTGCTTCCCTTCCAGTGCATTGTCAGAGCTACAATCATTCTAATAGTACATATTATTCGATCTTTGTGCCCATTGAATGGATGTCAGACAAAGGCAACGTGGCATCAGAGTGCATTTTTTCCTTTCGTATTTCACTACCTCATAATGGTAGAGTCTAAATTTACAGCAGGGGAATGCCTGAACTAAAAAAATTAAAAAGTTAATGACCACAGTTATGTATTACTATAAAGATTATATGGTTTTTTCCAGTGATGTTATGTTTTGAAATTCAGTGGTGGAGTTGCATCAAAATAGAGGTCTCTGCAAGGTTATTTCAAGAGCAGTCATTTTTAAAATTGATGTAAATATGAATGCTTTACTCCAAGCAATGTTTATTTTCATTGTGTCATCAAGCTCCAGCAGGAGTTTATATAGCAGTTTTCTTTTGCTTAGTATGCATCTGTCAGTGACCATGTCAAAGTGTGCAATGCATTTTCTGAAAATAAGTCAGTAAATGGTAAGTCAGCCAGCAGCTTGCAGTTACCTGAGGGGGACACTATGTTCATATAATCTCCCTTTTCAGGACAAACCCATGCAAATAATTTTATAAAATTATACAACTATGGATATTTCATGAATGTTTCTTGTTTGTTTGTTTGTTTGTTTGTTGCTTTGGAATGAAAAAAAGAGACTAAAATGAGTAGGCACTGTAGAAAGTAAGGTTAACTTCTAAATTGAGCTTATCCAAGGTCAGGTAAGGTTGCTGTGTTTCACACTGATTTTTAACAGGGTGTATTAAGGTTTTCCTTGCTCTCAGACCACAGTTATTCACCAGTAGTCAATATAGAGGAAAAAGAGCACTTAGGAAATACTAATTATTAACACTACAGGAATATTGAAATAAAACTTCTATGCTAAAATGTTGAGTTATCAAAGGGAACATTAATTATTATGTGCGAAGAAATTCAGCATAAAGAGACCCAACAGTTTTCTTGCCAGGGTGGCATTAATACACAGCTTGTGGTTAATAGCTTTTAAAGAATATGTGTGTTTTAAGTTTCCTTAGTCTAGTTTAAATTCTGAATTTCCCTATTCATGCACTGAATGAAGCTCATTGTGTATCTGTGGATGAGGTGATGACTGAGATGCAATTCACTGATGTTGTGGTATATCATAAGCAGGACTTTGGAAAATACCACAAGGAAAAAAACAAAGATCACACATCAGAATAATAGGCTGAAGCTACATTTCTTAGGCTAAGGGTGATCTGCACATAGCCCCACTGTAACAAAACTGATCTTTAAAAAAGATCTGTGAGCAATGATTTGAGTATTTTGAAAGGAAAATATCACGTAAGTGATTTCATTTAATATGCTAGTTTCCCTATGATTTTATTATAGAATCATCTTGGCAGTCAGTTCTAGTTCTCCTGTCAACAATTTGCTTCAGTTGTTTTCATATTCACAATGAATTTTTTATGAAATATTTTCTCTCCTTTATATGAACACTTCATAACATTGATGACAATGCTGTGGGTATAAGTAGCATAAAAAAATGTTATTTAACAAAAATAATGAATCTAAACTTCCTTCTCAGACTAAGATAGAAAAGATACAGAAGAGCAAGCAAAAGGATATGGATATAAGGATATGAATCCTTAACTTGACAGTTGTGGATGTTTTATTCAAATACTTCAGTCTCTCAAATTATGATCCCTCTGTCTTTAAAGGGGCAAAAGTGGATGAGAAACAGATGGTCTGCAAGAGAAGGAGTTTGGTACTGGTTCCTTACTCTGTGCAAGTTTCTGTACTTAATGCTTATTTGTTTGCTTGTTGTTTTTCATAAGCCTAAATTCTAAGAACATCCCATTTTTTATTATTTTTTTAAATCAGTGCTGTTTGTATTGACTTCAGATGTGTTTAAGACTTTACTTGGTGTGCACGTCTAAGCTATGTGTCAGGTACAAGAGCTTGTTTGGAGAGAACGTAACAAGTATCAACATTTTAAATCCTTGCTTTTACTTTAATCATTACCCTGTTAGGAACGTTAAATCGATTGATTTATTTGTTAGCTTTTCCTGAGTTTTCAGGACACATGCCTGCACTACTGAAAATTCCTTCCTACTCCAGAAACAATTATTCTAAAGCCATAGGTACTCTTTGTCAATTATGTGTCTATGAATATTTTATTCAGATCACTCCCAGTTATCTTCTGTGATCAGAACGTTATCTTAGGAGTGATCAGATATTTTAGTGACTGATCTAATTTGTTATGGTAAGTTGAAGTAATATTTGCAAACCTTTTTAAATTGAGTTAATCTAATCCACCAGTTATTTCTTACCTGCATTGTTACTCAGCTGTAGACTTAAATGAAACACAGCCAAAAGAAATAAGTTTTCAGGTTCGCCTGCTATCCTTAGAAACAATATAATGTAATCTGAAATAAATCTCTTTATAGCATACTGGCCCACAGACTTGCAGCTGGAAAGAGAGAGAAAAAAAAGACAATTTCTTGAATATGATTTACTACTGGTCAGCAAGATATTGTCTGATTGATGTATGAAGTAAAATTGAATCAGGTTAGACTGATTTTCACAGAAATGCTCGAAGCTCCATGTTTATTATTTAAATGTTTAAAAAGAAAGACTAATGCAGACAAATCAGATGGAGATTGTGTGGTTTTCCAGTCTTTGTAATCAGTGCATTTTACCAGTAATTCTTGAAGTTTCATTTGGAACCAGAAGTGATAGGATATGATA